TTCAACATGACCTTGCCCCAGGCTAGAGCTAAACCTTACAGCACTTTATTTTTTAAAAACATTTTAAACAATCTGCAAGGGTAATTCATGATTATATGCATCTAAATTATTTTTATGGTTTTAAGGTGGCAGATAACAGTGACTCTGTGGCTCCCTCTTGTGGTCTATTAAAGCAAGTAGTCGAGTCTCAAGAACGAAAGGTTTTTATTGTTAAAAACCCTCTTATGTCTAATAAGTAAATATCAGTGGCATTTCCTGCCATGCCATTTGGATGATAAAGAAAAGAGTCTCTGGGAGGAATACTGCCAAGACGTGTTGATTCCCCAGCCCTTTTGTTTCCTTAACCTGTACTTCTTGTCCACTCTCTAACATGAGGGGAAAAGCAAGAGAGAAAAAAGCATTGCTTCTGACTGTGTCTGCTATCCCACACTTCATTTAATTTCTTTCTTATTGATTTATTTAATTAATTATGGCTTAGAGAAGCTAAGTCACCCATTACTTTCATGGGTGACTGTAAGTAATTCCCATGATCATTAAGTAACACCATTTAGTATTGGTGGAAGCTGCTTATGATTAGTTTGTTCACGGTCACATAGTGAGGTAATGTGATATTTTAGAGGAGAACCAGCAGAGCCAACAGCTCTTTAATAGTAACTTGATTAATTCACGGAGCCTGTTGGCTTTCTAAGCTGGATTGGAATGTTGGTAACCATGTAAACTAGAACAGCCTGGGACTTAAATAGTCCTAGCCTGGCAAAAGCTGGACTTTAGACAACTTTTACCTATTGGTGTATACGCTGTGAAATAAATAATGGCAGGGTATTGCATGTTACAGCATGAGCTCATGGGAATATTGGTAATAGATAGGGTCAGATTTTGTGTATTATGGTCAGAATGAGGTTTTTAGTAATTATCTAAATGAAAGCACTAGTTAATGGTATGGTTACCATTTTCTGTACGCAGTTCCCTTTTATATATTCCTAATTACTTAATTCAGTACTGTCTCTGTAGTGGCCTCTACTTGCTTGTTTCCATATAAAAATTTTATTTTTAATCATCATAAAGAGTGTGTGCATATGTGTGAGAGTATGTAAAAGGAAAGAATTTGGGGCAGGAGAGACCAAACCTGAAGAAACTAAAAATTTCCATCTTAAATGAGTTTATCACACTTCATCCTTGATTTATAGTTGATTCCTTTCTTTAGATCATATTTTGGAAGCTCACTAGAACAATCCTCTCTAATTTTCTTTTATAAAACTTAGTCTCCAGTTTGGCATTGTGTTTTAGAAGTCACTGACATGTGCTCCTGTGTGCTTGTTCTACTGCTGAGGGTTTATTTTAAGGGAATCAATCAGAATGTGCTCAAGACTTAGTTATAAGAATGTCTAACATAAGGGGAAATTATTTTTCTTTTTTAAAACAATTTCAGAATTGTTTGTAAGAAGAAGGAAGGTTAGAAACAGCCTAGCAGCAAGAATTATGTAAAGGGGCCCACTCTGAAGTACAAAGTTAACCAGTTTATGTCCACACTTGGCCTATGATCTAGGCTGAGGGGAGAGGCAGGTGCAGGCCCCTTGGGCTCCATTTAGAGAAATAGCGGCATGTTTGTCTGTCTCTTGGCCGAGAACACAGCCATTTGGGTAGTGAAGCTTGGAGGACATCTCTACTCTTCACTTTCATTTGCGTTAAGTTCAGGAAAACTGTAAAGGGTTAGTTCAGGAAAATTCAGCCCATTCAATAACACTTTAAAACAAAGAAACTGGCACATCAGATAGATAATTAAGCAAAACTGTGTAAGAGAGCAGCAGAACTTAACAGTGACTGAAAAGCACTTCACAGGAAAAGGTTGTCATCAAACTGATGAAAATTGTGACCAACTTTTCTAATGCTTCCTTAAAAACTAAAGGAAGCAATAGCCGAAACTGGTTTGGCTCAGTGGGTAGAGCGTCGGTCTGCGGACTAAAAGGTCCCAAGTTCGATTCCGGTCAAGGGCATGTACCTTGGTTGCGGGCACATCCCTAGTAGGGGGTGTGCAAGAGGCAACTGGTCGATGTTTCTCTCTCATCGACGTTTCTAGCTCTCTATCCCTCTCCCTTCCTTTCTGTGAAAAATCAATAAAAAATATTTTTAAAAAAACTAAAGGAAGCAACAACTTCATTGTAATGAACAAATTCAAGAATTCAGAGAAAAAGATAATAAGACAACAAAAATATTTGAAACAGGCACACTCAGAATCAGGAAGTAGAGAGAGCAATTGTTTCAATATAGCTCAGATATGAGGGTATTTTCCTCTCAAATGAGGCTCATTCATTGTTTTGGATCTTATGCAATTACCCTCTCGAAGAGATTCTCAAATTTACTTGAAGATATATTAGTTTAGACCAGTCATTTGAAAGCAGTGATTCTACTGTTAGTGTATATGCTTATGCACAAATGATGTGATGTAATTGCTAATGATAAAATCGTTATCTTTTGTGTGTAAGATAAATTGAAGGGATGCTCATGACCTTGAACTCTTTTAGGTTACTTTTCCATAATGAATATGTGTCTTCTGCAACGTTTTGTAAAACTGTAAAGTACCTTGTAATTCAGGGATGGCGGTGCTGGTTTTGTATGAATTAGATCTAGTCTGCTCCCCACACACTCGTTTCCTTCCTCGCTGACCCTTCCAGATGGGGTCACATTAAAGACATGCATTTCATACATCCTCTTTTTCCTCTCTGCTTCTTTTTTGCACATACTTTCATCTAAATAAGGACAATTTTGAATGATGGTGTACATAGGATTTTTATAATAAACAGTTAACAAACAATATAAACAGATCTGTGTTTAAAATCCAGTTGTCATCCTGAATTGGCAGTGTGACCTTGGGCAGATTACTTAATCTCTCTTAGATGTAGTGCTCTTGTGTGTAAAGTGAAAGATGATAATATTTTGAGATTGTTGAGAGTTCAGTGAGATGCTCTTTGTAAAGCGCTTGGAATATGGCTTTCACTGAACTTGGTCTGCCCTCATTTCCTCAAAGATGCTACTTTAGTTCAAATATAATTACTTGATATTAATAGTTTTACATTTTGGTTCCGGTCCTTTCAATATAAGTTACATTGTTAAAGATCAAAATTTAACTCTACTATCGTTCTAGATTCTTTGGATTTTAGACTCGCAGGAATAAAAAAATAAAGGAAGTGAACCACAGAAAAGTGTGCATTATTTTATTTCTGGCTTATGGGAGTGGATGGAATGTTTCAAACACAGTATGCGTTTATTCAACTCTTACTCGGTATAGTTCACATATGCCTAGTTGACTCTATTATTTAGCTTTATAATACAGAGATGAAAACAATAGTTTGTGCCTGTATTGGAGGTTGTGGCTTGTCAAAGGAGACAGATCAGTAAGCACTTACAGTCCAACCTTAGGAGTGCCCCGACAGGTGTGTGCACAGGGCACTTGGAGGCCCTGGAGGAGGTGCTTTCTCTCTCTCTCTCTCTCTCCCCCCTCCCCCCTCTCTCTCTCTCTCTCTCTCTCTCTCTCTCTCTCTCTCTCTCTCTCTCTCTCTCTCCCTCTCTCTCCCTCTCTGTCTCCCTCTCTGTCTCCCTCTCTGTCTCTCTTTCTTTCTCTCTCTCTGTCTCTCCCTCTCTCTCCCTCTCTGTCTCTCTCTGTCTCTCTCTGTCTCCCTCTCTGTCTCCCTCTCTGTCTCTCTTTCTTTCTCTCTCTCTGTCTCTCTCTCTCTCTCTCTCCCTCTCCTCTGTCTCTCTCTCTCTCTCTCTCTCCCACCTCTCCCTCTCCCTCTCCCTCTCCCCCCCCCCCCCTCTCTCTCTCAGGCAGTGCATGTGAGGTGGGACTTCAGGTGAGCTTCCCAGGGAAGGTGACACCTGAGTCAGATCTGGAGCAGCCAGACCTGGATTGGACCCTGACCCTTTTCAGGCTAAGGAGATAGTTCATTTTAAGATAATTGGGAGCCAGTGGATACTTTAATTTAGAGCAACATGAACAGATTTGGAGCTTAGGATAATACCTAGAAGCGTAACTGTAAGTAGTGACATCAGCACCGATTTCATCATCATCTACATTGCCACTATGTATTCAGTACTTCCTGAAGGTGACTGTGCACACGTCATCTCATTAACCCAGCTCTCTCTGAGCTCCATATCACTGCTGTCCCCATAAGCCGAGGCGAATGTGATCCCTGGTCAGGACGGGCACAAACAAGAACCAACCAATGAATGCAGAAATAAGTGGGACAGCAAATCCATCTCTCTCTCTCTCTCTTTTTCTCTCTCTCTCTCATCAATAAAAATTTTTTAAATGTAAAAAAAAACAACAACAGAGCTTTTAACACAAGTCTGTTATTTAACCTTTTACTCAAAGTTCGGTTTATTGTAAAGTGGCTGTTAGACTTACTGACAGAGAACATGTCTGTCTCCAGCCGGCACCACGGCCTTTCCGGGTTTTCACCTTACAGAACGTTTATCCCTGAGCTTTAGAACTCCCTCTCACAGGGGGTAAGCATTCCCTCACCTTGCCTCTGACTAAAATCACCTTACGGAAAGACTTAAAATGATACCTCCTCGGGATCTGAGATGTTTTATTTGTGTCATTGTTAAAGTCTCCGATGTGCTAGCAACTTGGGACCCGGCTTCTTAGTATGAAGCATAGTTTCAGACTAGGTTTTGTGTTTCTGTTCCATGTGTATTTAGTGTATTGAGGCAATAGAGTGAGAAATGATAATTCTTGGAAGTTAAAAAAAAAATAGCTGATTATTAATGGAGCCTCGCTCCTCATTATTAACTTTCTAAATGCTGTCAAAATTGGCCATTTACCCCTTCATTTTTAGTTCTCTAATAGGAATACAAATAAAGTACCTCTTCTGTCCCAGAAGTGTGGCATAATGGCTGACAGTTTAAATCTGCATCTGTGTATAGCTAGAAAAGAGGTATTATAAGATAGTACGGGCACAGTGTTGACTTGCTGCACTCACCTTTTACTTCTTTCATTTCAGCTCAATCTGAAATTGAAGTTTCAGTATCTGCAAGGAATATCAGAAGGTTACTAAGTTTCCAGCGGTATCTTAGATCATCACGTTTTTTTCGTGGTACTTCTGTTTCAAACTCTCTAAACATTTTAGATGATGATTATAACGGACAAGCCAAGGTGTGTATAGCCTTTTCAAGAAACATTACCCTTTTGATAAGTTTAATGAAGCCTTCTTTTCCCATCTGATACTGATTTATAGAGCCTTTTTTTGTATGTGAAAATCAGTTAAGCCCTTTTTTCAGGTTTTTCCTTTAGAGCAGTTGTTCATTCATTTTATGACTAGGTATTACAGAGCAAGGGAAATTTCTGAACTAAATAAATGAAAATGCTTTTTATTTATTATAACATTAACAAATAGAAGAGTAGAACATTCATCTGTAAGATCACAGTATTCTTATCCCTGGGAAGAATATTATACATTATCTGACCTAATTCCTGTATTCAATAGATAAGTGGACTATGGCCTAATAGAGGCAAATCAGCACAGAAAGTTAGTCTCGTGACTTACAGTCAGATGGTTTTCATAGTCTCTTGTGTCAGTGGATTATTTTGAGGACTTAGATGTTTCTTAATTAAACCCAGTGATTTTGAGCATTATTTTCTTCACATGTTTTAAAAGAAATGTCTTAATGAAGGTGGAAGTTAGATGAGCTTTTTTTTTTTTTTTTTTAACAAATGAGGATTTTTAATCTTATGTTTCTATATTTTTAGAAGTATTCTTTGTGTGTGTGTGTGTGTGTGTGTGTGTGTTTGTGTGTACACCAGATTTTGTAAGTTTGTGTAGATAGGTCTAGAGTACCTTTACAATAACATTAAAGTGAAAAAAAAAAAAAAAAAAAACTTCTCTGTTTGGTAAAAATAAATCAATGGAAAATGTTCATGCTTTCTTTAAACTTTAAAAAGTTCACAAGGTCTTTTTAGGATGAGAATGTTGATCTGTGAATGATTGGTTGTTGGTACTATCATAATCTATAGTAGTGGTGTCTTAGTATTGTTTAGTTGTTAATCTATTTATAAATGTATACAACAATGAACTTTTGGAAACAGAATCAAATTTTTTCTTAAAAATAAAGTTCACAGAACTTTCAAGTTACAAATATATCATGTAAAAATAGAATCTACTTGATTTTTAAAGTCATTGTGATATTTGTTTGACTGAAATACACATCAATTTGAAAATTAATGTAGTAAATACTATTGTTTTATAATGATATTTAAAAGATATAAATAAATACCCATAATTGGGAGTGTTTTCTAAAAAAAGAGAAAAAAAGAAAAAAAAAGAATTTAAGCATGGCATAGTATAGATGTCAGGTACCCAGGTTCAGATCAGGCCACCTGATTTAAGACCCCAGCTCTAGTATTGTCAGCCAAGCAAGTTAGTTACTTTTTGCTTGTTTTCCCATCTATAAATGATTGAAAACAGTACCTACTGGATAGTAAGAGTAGTAAAGTACTTTAACAGTTCCTGGAATATAGTATGTACTCAGTTACTATAATTTAGTTTTAGTAGATTTTTTAAAATCTAGTTTCTAGACCATGCAACATATGAACCATACTTCTGTGATTTTAAATTATGTTAGAATTCTTGGAAGTTTGTACCAGAATAGAATAAGTTTAAAAAAAACACTAACCTTACTTATACATTTATTCATTGGAAAACAATAATATTTGGTTTTTCAAATAGAGTTTATCTCTTTATACATTTTTTGTAGCCAGTTGGAAAAGTAATGATTAAAAGGATAATGATATATAGTATTTCTTAGAGTAAATCAATCACTTTACATTTTCATTAACTTTTCTATGAACCATCTACTAAAGATAGTGTTATTGAAATTAAATTACAGTAGGAATGTTTGGTTTTCATTTCAGTGTATGCTGGGAAAAGTTGGAAATTGGAATTTTGATATCTTTCTATTTGATAGACTAACAAATGGTAAGTGAAGAATTTGACTTCCTCGAATCAATGTGTTCTCTGGCTGCTGCGTTGCCGGTCCAGCCTCTCGCGGGTCATTGCTTCCTCTGACGTAGGAGCCTCTGCTGGCAGGGGGGGCATCATTTTGTCTCTTCTTTATGTCTGGTCGATAAGCCTAGAGCCAATCTCGTACATTGAGTTTTTGATTATTACTCTTAGCAGTAATCAAAAGATCAGTCACCATCACTTGGCCATCCCTCATTAAGGCTGCTGTTACACATAATCCCCAGTGAATGTTCTCTCATGTTTCTGATGTTCCTTTTGGGTTGTGGCCATTTACAATGACGCCTTATGACACTGTGTTTCAGCTCGGATAGTGCAGATATGGGTAGACACCGGCCTTCCAGGAGAATCCTTCCCTCTAGCTCCGTGGCTCTCACGTTTTTCTTTCTCTGCGCACTGGGAAGACCAACCAGGGTGCTGTGCTCCCTCCTTAGCCGGCTGGGGAAGAGCCACAGCTTCCTATGGGGCGTGTCAATCTGCCACGTGTGAGTGGTTTAAAAAACTAGGTGGTTCTGCGCTGTTCACACACTCCCTGATTTTTTTTAAAAATATATTTTATTGATTTTTCACAGAGAGGAAGGGAGAGAGATAGAGAGCTAGAAACATCGATGAGAGAGAAACATCCACCAGCTGCTTCTTGCACACCCCCTACTGGGGATGTGCCCGCAACCCAGGTACATGTCCTTGACCAGAATCGAACCTGGCACTTTTCAGTCCGCAGGCCGACGCTGTATCCACTGAGCCAAACCAGTTTCGACATTCCCTGATTTTTTTGTTGTTGGTGGAGAGGGGGAGTGTCACACTTCCTTATTCTCTTTGGGGATCAGTTTTACTTAGGGAAAATTTTTGGCATAAAAAATGGGTGCTATATGCAGTTCAACTAGACTTTGTCCCTTATGTCTAAATATCTTTTAAATACATACACACATACACATACATACACAAATGCATACATACATACATCAACATGGAGAGCACACTGGCTGCTCAGGAAATATGTTCTGAAAGCACGCTCCTTTTATTTTTTTTTAAATATAGTTTTATTGATTTCAGAGAGGAAGGGAGAGAGAGAGACAGAAACATCCACAATGAGAGAGAATCATGGATCGGCTGCCTCCTGCATGTCTTCCCCTGGGGATCGAGCCCACAGCCTGGGCATGTGCCCTACGGCCGGAGTTGAACCTGGGACCTTTCCATTCACGGGCCGATGCTCTGTCCACTGAGCCAGACCTCCTTTTTTTAATAAAAGCCTAGGGCAGCACCTCCTTTTTTATTTCCTTTTGCCTTTTCATGAGGAAGCCAAATATGGGAAAAGGACAAGCAAATACAGCTTTTTTTCATCTTGAAGGGCTGTGTGGGTCTAGCTCTTAGGATGGATACACCCTTCCCTCGGAGTGAAAATACCTTGGTAATCACTGTGTCCAGTGACTAACGATGGGAAATTGGCAAAATTGTAAAGAGTGAAGTTTGCCTAATCTGCAAAGCCTGCCTCCACTGCCGCCTCTCCTTGGCCCTTTGGAGACTCCGTGTGGTGCTCCTCCCCGTGCCCCAGGCGGGCTGTGCGCACAGAAGGCTCACACCCACGCAGCCCCCCTTCCACCTCCATGAAAACAGGGAGTGAGGTGCCAGGTGGTCAGCTTCCAGGTCCAGAGAGCGCCCCTTTCCTAACTCGGCACGAGTCTTATCTCAGGCAGCCGATCGATGTTTCTAACTCTATCCCTCTCCCTTCCTCTCTGTAAAACAGATCAATAAAAATATATATATATTTTAAAACTGCTCATCCTGACATGAATTCTGGATGACACATGTACATGGTTTCCAAGTGTATAGTTTTCCCTTCTTGCGTTTGATCCCATGCTTGCTTTGGTAATTTCCAAATGCTATTGTGAGGAAGTCAGGGAGAAGGCAAACTCAGTGACTCGCCAAGATACATGGTCCGTGGCAAGGAGGAACGTAGTTATTGTTGCCCGGATACATCTGATGTTCCTTTCTCGGAATGAGTGAGAGGTGATGTGAGATGACAAGATATGCCTTGTCACCCCGGAAGGCTCCCTGGCTTGGGAGGACCCAGTCCAGGCCTGGAGGACTCCCATCTAGTCACATTCTGAAAGCTGTCAGGGCCACTGCACCGCAGTTCTGTCCTTTGATATATTTTTATGAGGGTAGCCTTTTTATCAGTACAATTTTTCCCAACAACGTGTTTGTTTCCATTTTCATTTAAGTCCTCTGTGCCTGTTTCTTATTCAACACATCATCTAAGCATCGCTTGTTTTGAAATGTTTTGTTGACTTGTGTTCTTATCCACTGGTATTAAAATTGTCCATTAGTGTCTTATAAACTGAAAATGTCAGGGGGCGGGGAATGCTACATGCAGCTTTTCAGTTCAATGTGGATGGCATGCTCTAATCTGACTGGATCTTGTCAGATTCTTGGAAAGGTCTTGGTGCAAGACGTTACATGTGTTGCTCTCTGCAGTGTGTCCAGATTGCAGATGAGGGTATTTTACCATTAGATTGCAGCTTTCCTGAAACCTACCCTAGACCCTAGAAATTGGTCATTTGTTTTATTAGGTTAGGAAAACGATTTTGGAAAAACCTTAACACCTAAATTTCCAGAATGTATATACATTTTTTATAGTGAGGTTATAATTGACATATAGCATGTTAGCTATAAGTGTACAGTGTAATAATGCGATATATGTATATATCAAAATAATCACATTATGTTTAGTTAACATCTGTGACAAAATTGTTATAAATTTTTTTTTCTTGTGACAAGAACTTTTAAGATCTATTCTCTTAGCAACTTTCAAATATGAGGTAGAGTATTGTTAACTATAATCACCACACTGTGTATACATCCCAAAACTTATTTATATTTTACAACTGGACATTTTTACCTTTTGACCCTTTCACCCATTTTATCCATACCCAGTGCCCTGCCTCTGACATGCACAATCTCTTCTGTGTGCTCAGCTTTTGGTTTTGATTTTAGTTTCCATGTATAAGTGAGATTAAACTGCATTTGTCTTTCTCTGACTTACTTCACTTAGCATGCTCTCAACATCCATCCATGTTGTTGCAAATGGCAAGATTTTATATATTGACTAGAGGCCCGGTGCACAGATTCATGCACCAGTGGGATCTCGATGCACAGATTCATGCACCAGTGGGATCTCGATGCACAGATTCATGCACCAGTGGGATCTCTCTGCCTGGCCTGTGGGGATTGGGCCAAAACTGGCTCTCTGACATCCCCCGAGGATCCCAGATTGTGAGAGGACACAAGCCAGGCCGAGGGAGCCCACTGGTGCACAATCAGGGAGGGACCATGGGAGGGCTCCAAGGTGTGTCTGGCGAATCTCGCCCAGTCCCGATCAGCTGGACCCCAGCAGCAAGCTAACCTACTAGTCAGAGTGTCTTTTCCCTGGTGGTCAGTGTGTGTCAAAGTGACTGGTCAACCGGTCAGAGGGACAGTTAGCACATTAGGCTTTTATACATATTTATTACATAGATAGATAGATAGTTTGATTGAATTTATTGGGGGCATTGGTTAATAAAATTACATAGGCTTCAGGTGTACAGTTTTATACATCTGTATATTGTGTGTTCACACCCCAGTCAAGTCCCTTCCATCACATTTATTCCCCCTTTATCCTCTTCAACTCTCCTCCACCCCCTTGCCCTCTGGTAATCACCATACAATGTTGTCTGTGAGGTCATTTTTTTTGGTGTTTTGTTTTTGCTTAATTCCTTCACCTTTGTCACCCAACCCCTCTCCCCTCTGACAGCTGCCTGTCCTCTGTATCTGTGAGTCTGTTTCTATTTTGTTTGTTAGTTTATTTTGTTCATTAGATTCACATATGAATGAAGTCACATGGTACTTATCTTTGACTGGCTTATTTCACTTAGCATAATACTCTTCAGGTTCATCCATACTATCGCAAAAGGTAAGGTTTCCCTTTTTTTAACAACCAAGTAGTATTTCATTGTATTAATGTACCACAGCTCTTTTATCTACTCATCTACTGATGGGCAGTAGGGCTGCTTCCAAATCTTGGCTATTGTAAATACACAGCAGTGAATATAAAGGTACATATATCTTTTGAATTCATATTTTGGGTTTCTTCAGCTATATCGTCAGAAAGTAGAATTGCTGGGTCATAAGGCAGTTCCATTTTTAATTTTTTTTTCTCCATACTACTTTCCACAGTGGCTGCAGAATCTGCATTCCCACCAACAGTGCAGAAGGGTTCCCTTTTCTCTACATCCTCTTCAACATTTGTTGTTGGCATATAGGTCAATGGAACAGAATAGAGACCCTGAAATAAACCCACACCTTTATGGTAAATTAATATTTGACAGAGGAAGCAAGAACATACAGTGGGGTAAAGACTATCTATTCAATAAATAGTGTTGGAAAAATTGGACAGATAATGTGCAAAAAAATGAAACCTGACCATCTTCTTACACCATGCAAGAAAATAAGTGGATTAAATGTTAGACTCTAAACCAAAAAAGAAAAATCCTAGAAGAAAACATGGGCAGTAAAATCTCAAACATTTCTCTGAGCAATATTTTTTCCTATCTCCTCAGATAAGGGAAACAAAAGAAAGATAAAAGGGACTATATCAAACTAAAAAGTTTTTGCACATCAAAAAAATGACAATCCACTGAATGGGAGAACAAATTCACCAATGATACACCTGAAAAGGGCTTAATATCCAAAATTTATTAAGAACTTAAAAAACTCAACACACACACAAAAAAAATCTAATTTTAAAAAATGGACAAAGGACCTGAATAGACACTTCTCCAAAGAGGACATACAAATGGCCGATAGACATGGAAAGAGGCTCAATGTCACTAATCATTCAGAGAAATGCAAATTAAAACCACAATGAATTACCATCTCACACCTGTCATAATGGCTATCAACATTAAATCAAGATTTTCTTCTTTTTTGTGGCTAAATAACATTCCTTCTTTCATGTTACTTTAATAAAATTATATACACATGTCATATTTTCTTCATCCATTCTTCTAGCTGTAGATACTTAGGTTGTTACCTATGTATTGGCTATTGCAAATAATGCCACAGTGAACATTGAGGTACCTGTATCTTCTTTTAATTTAGTGTTTTTGGATTTCTTCATATAAACAACCAGAAGTGGGATTGCTAAATCATATGGTAGTTCTATTTTTAATTTTTGGGGACACCTCTGTACAGTTTTTCATGATGTCCGCACCAATTTACATTCCCGCAAACAGTGCCCAAGGGTTCACCTTTTTCCACATTCTCATCAACAATTATCTCTTACCTTTTTATTATCCCCATTTTTACTGGTGTGAGGTGACATTGTCGTTTTGATTTGCATTTAGTTGATGATTAGTGATCTCAAGTATTTTTTCATGTGTCAACCATCTATATCTCACATGGAAAAATGTTCAGATTCTCTGACCATTTTTTAATTGGATATTTGTTTGAATATACATTCTAAAGTATCTATGAATGTACCAAACAAAAAGTTGGCTGTTACAACAGCAGTAGCAGAATTATAGCTCACTTTTTCTCAAATACTTCCAAACCACATAGGCTCATGTTTGTACCAGTAGAATACTATCAGGATTTGAATGCATTTTAATGTTTAATTTCATAAAAGTAAGAGATTTGAAATAGTTTTTTCCTCCCTTTTGAAGGTGATATGCCAGGTAGTTTTGAAAAAGAATCTCTTTTGGGCTGCCACATTATAATATTTATAATGTTGCCCATGCAAATATTCTTCCAATTAATTAACTTTTTTCCTCAGTCATGAGCTTCTGTTGATAATTGGTTAGGCAATTTTGGATAATGAAGTTCTTTATAATCCTTCATAAATATTACTAAAATTTTTCAATGTGGGGCTAGTTATGCCTTTTATTCATTTTTTTGTAAGAATCATAGATTTTTTTAGAGAATACTAGAATTGTGTCTGTTGTTCTTGTCAAAATGTTGGCAGTAATTGTGAGTTTATGCTACTTTTAAATCACATAGCCTACTTAATTGTTAATAATGCATATCAGTTCTATAGAGGAAATTTTCAAAACATTGAGAAATATAATGGGAGGTATAAGAAATGGAGAGAGAGTTGAATCTTGGAAGGAAAAACTAAGTATTATAAAAAATGGTAGTATTTCCAAATTTAATTTCTGCACTAGGCTCCAGTTGTCAGAGACAAAGGAGTGAGTTGAGGATAAAGATAACCCCTGTTGCGTATGACAACACTCCCAAAAAACTCGCTGTGGGGGCCAGAGAGGGAAACAACTGGAGGGGCCAAAGATAAGAGAATCTACAGCACGTCTGAGTGCCCATCGTACCGGGCAATATGAGAAGGGGAGGTGGAAGGGATGTTTTGATTCAGTGGAACTGGGAATGGGGATGGGGGGACATGGCAGATGTATGTGAGGGACCAAGGAAGGTTCCTGAGAAGCTGTGGAGAGGAGGAGGTATTATTGGCTTTTGAAAGAAAGGGAAATTTGAGGGCTTGAATTTTTTTCTGTGAAGTATGAGGCTGTTGAGGATGAAGGGGTGAATAGGATGTGGTTATGTCAGTAGTTTGAGAAAAGTAGAGAAAGCTTGAAAATAGGCATTTTGAAAAGTGAAAGGAACATTTCACTAGAAAAACATAAGATTACTAGCTGTAGTATTGTCTGTGAATGTTTAGCTGTAGATTTCTGTCTAGTTTGTTAGAATAAACAGCCTCCCCATAACCAGGTGCAGCCAAGGCCGCTTGCTCTGAGTCATCCCTGTTCAGCTACAGCAGGTGGTTGAGGGGCCGAATGGGAAGTGGTTAAGTGCAGCCATGTGTACGTACATGCTTTGGGAAGTTGACTTAATCTTACCGTGGGACAATTTTCAAAGTGTCCGTTGATTCTAATTATTTTGGTGTATTTTTTAATCAGTCTATTAAAAGTTTATTCCCAGTTTACCTGGTTGTGCAAAATGAAACAACAAAAAAGTTTTTTCTTAGAATGGAAAAAAAAGATGTGATATTTGAAGTTCATAACTGGTCTAAGCATTTGTAAATTTTAGACAAAAAGGAATTAGTACTTTATGTTGAATATTCAAAACCTATATGCAATTATGTTAGCTACTAATATCTCCTTTCTCTGTCTTTTTTGTTTTTGTTTTTTTAGGAAATAGTCTAGTAAGTTTAACCTGTCATTTATTTAGTCTTCATGGATTAATTGAGTACTTCCATTTAGATATGGTGAAACTTCGTAGATTTTTAGGTAAGTGATTCTAATTCATTTCCAGTAGTAAGATGTATACAAGAACTTTTAAAAATTTGGTATTAAGTAACTATTGCTCTAAAACAAACCGCTCCAAATTTAGTGGCTTAAAACAACATGCATTATTGAGCTCCCGCGTCTGTGGGCTGTGCATGCTGTTTCCAGTCCGACTGCTCTCTGAGCTCCCGCAGCTGGCAACCCAGGAGCCGGGGCTGACCGGCAGCTCTGCGTGGTCTCCTATTAAGTTAAAAGAACGCAGAGGACTTTGGCACCATATAGATTCACATTAAGAACAAAAAAGAAAGTAATCTTTATTTTAAAACTAGAGGCCCGGTGCATGAAATCCGTGCACTGGGGTGGGGAGAGTCCCTCAGCCTGGTCTGCACCCTCTCACAGTCCAGGACCCTTTTGGGGATGTCCGACTGCCATCTTAGACCTGCTCCCCATGGAGGTGGGAGAGGCTCCTGCCACCGCCACCACTGCTGCACTTGCCAACCATGAGCCCAGCTCCTGGCTGAACGGTGCTCCCCCTGTGGGAGCACACTGACCACCAGGGGGAAGCTCCTATGTCGAGCATCTGCTCCCTGGTGGTCAGTGCACATCAGAGTGACTGGTCGTTCTGCCATTCAGATGTGCACTGACCACCAGGGGGCATCTCCTGTGTCGAGCATCTGCCCCCTGGTGGTCAGTGCACATCAGAGTGACTGGTCGTTCTGCAATTCAGTCAATTTGCATCTTAGAGTTTTGTTACTATATAGGATTGGATAAGCTGAGTTTGTTCAAAGAGTGGTATCCAGTTTCCAAGAGAGAGCTGGCGACCCAGACCCCTGGATCCCTGGGTTCTGCACCGACGGCCGGGTCAGGGCAGGTGGAAATGGACTGCATCCGGGGGTGGGAGCTGCAGAGCCTCGGAGTCCAGGAGCCCAGGGTCTGGGCTTGGGAAGAACTGGAACTACTTTGCATTCAGGGCTACCTCGGCCATGGTTTCCTGACGAAGATGCCACGTTTCTAAGAGTTTGAAGGATAAAACTTTAAAAGACGGGATACGTTGCACTCAGGTCTCTTATTTTGACAGTAAACTTGAAGGATTATTTGGAATATGTTTAAATGTACAGAGTGGTGTTTACCTAAGACCGATCTGCTAAGGGGAAAGTTGAAGCTTTTCACCGAATAAAGAAACATGTTAGGAACAAATTGGTAGCATAGCATGAGGATTCTTTTTTTAAAGGAAGAAGACAATGTTTTCTTTCCTCTTAAGTTCCAAACTAAGATAAATTTATTAGCTAGCATTTTGGAGAAACTTTTAAAAATACATTTTATTGATCTCAGAGAGGAAAGGAGAGGGAGAGAGAGAAACATCAATGATGATAGAGAATCATTGATCAGCTGCCTCCTGCATACCCTGTATTGGGGATTGAGCTGGAAACATGGGCGTGTGACCTTGACTGGAATCGAACCCGGAACCCTTCAGTCTGCAGGCTGATGCTCTATCCACTGAGCAATACCAGCCAGGGCTTGAGAAACTTTCAATGCACATTTTTATAAATTGTATGCCTGTGATACTGTACTAGTATATTATATAAATTATACAACACATATAAAAATAGATGTTACAAGAGTATTTAAAAGGCTATTATAAACAATGGGATCAAAGTAAATACAGAATGCCGAATCTTTTTCTTGCTCATGGGTGGATTGCAGAGACCTTGAGGTTTTAGCATGTCTTGCTGTTGGCCACCACCCCATCACCACCCTCGTGCAGATTCGCTGGCGCCATGGATACCTCCCGCTAATCCTGGTCCACCTTTCCCTTATAGCATAACAGACACAGAGGGAAGGATTAGCAGCAGGTCCCTCCCTACAAACTGGAAAACAAATTCCAGATCCAAAACCCACCGTGTGATGACGCCTCACAGGATCACTTTCTAGACCCCAGTATTCACACTGTTTCAGTGTCATAAAGATTTGTGTTCACTGATGAATTTCTAGTACCTCTTAGAACAGTATCTGGCACAATAAATATTTATTGAATGGTACTGTTTTTACTAAACTGATTCTTTTGGTCTCTCCTTCACATTTTAAAAGAAAGTATCTTATAATTTTGACATGAATACTTTCTCACTTAAGTTTCAAACAAGCCTGGCCAGTGTGGCTCAGTGGTTGAGCATTAGCCCATGAACTAAGAGGTCACCAGTTTGATTTCAGGTCCGGACACATGACCAGGTTGCGGGCTCAGTTCCCAGGATGCAGTGTGCAGGAGGCAGCCGGTTGATGGATGATTGTCTCTCATCATTGATGTTTTTATCTCTCCCTTTCCCTTTCTCTCAAAATCAATGAAAACATATATTTTTTAAAAGTTATGAGTCAAAATAGTATTGACTCTTTAGGTCTCCATGTGAGTGTGGGTGATTATCATCTCTCTGAACCTGAACAGTTAACTGATAGCCACCTGGAAAGTGTCAGTGGGGACCTGTGATTATCGCAGTTTACGTGTCCACGCCTCCCGTTTACAGCTAAATGGGGGTGGGGGCTTTTTCCTTTGTTGCAGTTATGATTCAAGAAGATTACCACAGCCAGAACCCGTACCACAACGCCGTCCATGCTGCCGACGTCACTCAGGCCATGCACTGTTACCTGCGAGAGCCCAAGGTGAGATGCTGACACTGACAGCAGGTGAAAACCCTGAGAATGTTTCTTATTTCACATACTTTTCCCTAAGTTAGTGATTTGGCTCAGAATCAGAAGTTTCCTTCAAAAGAAGGAGATCTGGCGGGATCGAGTTTCCAAAAAACGGCTGTATTTGTCAGCGCAGCTCCTGGAGAACGTGGGGGGCTGAGAAAGCAGTGGAGGAGGCCCAGTGAGGGCCAGATCCCCACCCCGGGGCTGTCCGGACATCCGGACATCCGCATCGACGCTGTGCCCCTGAGGGCAGGGCGGCCAGTCCGGCTCCCTGAGGGAGAGGGAGCTGGCTGCTGTGTGACCATCAGCCGGACAAGAGGGACGCCTCCCCTCAGAGCTGCTGCAGTGCTCCTCAAGGGGGCGGGCGCAGTCCTGGGGAGGGTCAGGGCGGGGTGGTGGGTCACTTAGATTTAGAACGAATGGGCCCTGGTGTCCAGTGGTGTGGGAAGCAGCAGGGAGGGGAGCGATGAAGGCCGCCGGGGCGGGGGGTGGAAGCTGGAGGCCTTGTGAGAAGGAATGTGGAGAAGGAGCGAGCCTGGGGGCGGGGCGGGGCGGGCAGAGATGGTGACTTCCTGTTTGAATCTGGAGACAAATGTGTTTGTGGGCTATCCAGATGGGTGTCTGAGAGACAGGTGGGTAAGAGTCCGTCATATAGGAGAGAAACCAAACTTAGAGCTACTTTCCCTCACAGAACTTTTAATCTGCCTGAGATTGTTGATGTCATGTGTAATCATAGATGATTTTTTTTGTTTGATTCTGGATTATTGGACTCTCCCAGAATAGTACATATCTATTCTTCTGCCACTTCCCCTCTGTTTTAGTTACCATAAGAATATAATATTTGCATGTTGCTTAATTATTTGTTGATAAGATAGCCACGGCCGTGCCCGCACGCCCTGGGTTGGGAGGGGAGGCTGGTCTGGGTGCAGGGTGCTCAGAGTGTGCCTCCGTTCCTCCTGAATAGTGCGCCCTGCTTTAAAAGCCTGTATTTTTTAAATGCTGTCGCAAATCCTGAAGAGGAAATAATTTTCTTCAACAACTCCTCCCCATTCTTTGAACTTCTCCCCATACCAGTTATAAGCAGTTTAAAAATAAATAATAAATGTTCTTGGCCTTCAAACAGCTTAGAGTTTTCTAGGGGATTCAAACTCTTAAATGTTGAGTTTTAGATTTCTTTTTCAGACTGAGATGAACTCGACACAAGGGATGGGAAAACATTCTGGCATGGAAAGCAAATACTAAAATTGGAATCAAAATTTATCTCAATCAGAGTTTTTCCATTTTCATCTTCATCATGTGTAATATGTGTTAGTTCAGTGTCATAATCTATAAGTAAGTGCACCAGTATTGGTGGTGTACGATCACATTATTTTACTGTCAGGGCACACGGTCATACAAGTTTAGAGAGCATTGACCTAAAGTAAAAGTGTGTCCTGCTGAGTGTCACCTTGGCCGGGAGGGGCTGCAGGCAGACAAGGAGGGAGGGAGTGGTGAGGGGAGGGGAGCCTGAGATGAGGAGTAGTGGCCAGTGCCGAGAAGGGATTCGTGAAAAGCAGCGGTACATGGAGCACAGTGGTTGTTATTATCAGTGAAATCTTCAGGCAGGTAACAGACTTTTCTGTGATTATCTTATTGTACCAAGTAAGATTAACAGTGCCGATTGGGAGCAGCAGTGTAATTGTTCGCTTACAAGAGGCCTGAGTTCAGACTGGACGAGGACTCTGCTCTCTGATGACCCAGTAGCCTCCTTAGTCAGCGCGGCCTCTGAAGTAACCTCGCTTTTTAGGTTCTTAATTGATATCCAGTAAACAATTGCTGGTCAGCCTCACACGGGGCACCACTTTGCCAGGGCTGACCAGCAGACCTGAGCGATGGATGAATGATTACTCGGACACACATTTCTGTGAAAGAGAGGGCTAAGGCACTACTTGGCTATAGCCACCAAGTAGCCCTGTTCACCTGCCTCCTCTGGCTTTTATTGGCATAGCAGCTGGAACTAAAATTAGCCTTAGATACAATCAGCAAGGTAAGCATCCTTGAGAAAGAATATGCTTCTACAAGGTTGGGTCTAAAAGATCAAACAGAGATTCTAGCAAAACACCCCAGGCGGTTGAACTTGTTTGGAAAAGTCAGGGTCCCCTCAGAGGTTCCCGACCTTTCGGAGAATCCTCCTCACAGATATTCCAACCAGGTTCCGTGCTTCCCGACAAACAGTCTATAATAATAAAAGCATAATACGCTAATTAGGCCAGATGTCCTTCCAGACAACCTTCCAGGTGAAGCCAGGCTATGAGAGAGGCCCAGTCCCGAGTGCCAGAGGGAAGTCAGGGCCGGTGGCCGGTGGAGGAAGCCTACTCTTGCCCGAATTTGGTGCATGGGGCCTCTAGTTTGTTGATAAAAAATCTGTTAAGAGGGTAGATCTCATGTTAAGTGTTCTTATAATAAAAAATGTTTAACCTCATAGGTCTTTTCTGTTTGCTGTAATGGCTGTGGTAATAAAATATACAAACCTGTGTTTATTGCTTCAGAACTATTCTCTTTTCCAATAGAATCTCTTTGAGATGGCTTGTATTATACTTTGCCATTGTGATTAAGCTTGTTTAAAAGGAAGCTGTGAAGGGCAAGCTCGGGACTGTCCAGTCTGACTCCTCTCAGCGTCGGAGGGGCCCGGCCAGCAGGCGCCAGCGGCCTTAGCGAACAGTCTGAAAAGCAGGGCAGGAGGACACTGCCATTTGGGTCCAATTTAAACCATTGCAGTGGGACGGAGTTGATTTCAAATATGACTATAATTAATCTTCTTTTGTCAACTTCAGCTTGCCAACTCCGTAACTCCTTGGGATGTCTTGCTGAGCTTAATTGCTGCTGCCACGCATGATCTGGATCATCCAGGCGTTAATCAACCTTTCCTTATTAAAACTAACCATTACTTGGCAACTTTATACAAGGTTAGTACAGTTTTATCACCAACATTCAATATTCTTGCATTCCTAAAAATGTTTCTTGTTTTCAAGAAGTGAAAGTGGTTAACAAATGTTAGGATTTTACCAGATTAATATTACTCCCAAATAATTCTCTATGTTTAGAAAGAGATTTATTACCATTAAATAACTCACATGCTTTTTTTTTTTTCCTCCTATAGAATACCTCAGTCCTAGAAAATCACCACTGGAGATCTGCAGTGGGGATATTGAGAGAATCCGGTTTATTCTCTCATATGCCATTAGAGAGCAGGTAGGCTGGATTCAGACATATTTAATTTGCTGTGAACTGTGAAAATTAACCTGGCAAAACAATTTTATAAGGTTTTAAAATTACATTATTATGTTCAAGTTTTCCATAATTTTCAGGTTTGTGGGGGGAAGGTATTAATTTTTAATGAGTAAATTATCTTATAAGTTTCTATAAAAATTTTAGTAATTTAAACCTGTTCTACAGTACAGTTAATAGTATTTTTTAGAGAATTATTATGAAAGATCATCCCATGGATTTGAGAACTGTATAAAACTCACTCCAAATGCACAATGGCTCAATCACAGTTTACTGCTTATTAATATAAATAGTATGACATATTTCCATTTTGTGCTAAACCTTGAGTTCTAGAAATAAATAGAAAGTAAACCCTCTGTATAATAAATCGATTTATTAAAAATAAAACTGATGAGAAATAAAAATCCTGCAGCTATAGGTCACTTCTAGAAAGAACAGAAAATACTAATTTTTTAGAATAGATCATTTAATGTTAAGCAGGCCACGTGAAAGCCTAATGGAGAGCATGGATGTGAATGAGCCCTACATGACGGTGTCATTGTCCATAAGCCACGGTTCACTGTAAGCCTCTCAGAGACGGTGCCTTAGGAAGGCCATGTCAGTGGTTGTGTAAACCAACTAATTCTAGCAGGAAGGTGAGGCATGAACCTGTATTGGGTATTAAAATTTAAGCTACTATCACAATTCTTTCCTTTTTCCCTTTCTTGATTTAAAAACTTGCATGTTTTGTGTAATGACCATAAAAAAAAAAAAAAAAAAAAAAAAAAAAAAAAAGCTGGACTTTATTTTTTTTTTTTTTAAACTCTATTCATGGATACCATTTGGAGTTATGACAGTACTTCCAGTAAGTAGAATTGTTTCTTGCTGAGTACAGATATAAAAATTGCTCAAACCATACATGTTTGTATATAGGAAGTATCTTTTCCTTGACTGAGGTAGATTAAAATGTTGCTTTGTTAGACCTTTTTATCGTGTTATGCATTTGATAATGAGCCCCCTGTTAAATTCTCAGATTTAATACAAGTAAAAACTGAAACTAAGGAACTCTATACAATAGTATTCTTTGAATGCTGTTTTTTTCTGTATTTCAATATTGTGAACTTTTTAATCTATTGAAAGTTCTGATCATTATACAAAGATAATGTTTGCTATGGCCCATTGAAACAAAAGGCAGGTTTTTATTTTATTTTATTTTAATCCTCACCCAAGGATATGTTTATTGATTTTAGAGAGAGCGGAAGGAAGGAAGGAAGGGAGGGAGGGAGGGAGGGAAGGAGGGAGGGAGGGAAGAAAAGGGGGAGGGGGGAGGGAGAGGGAGAGGGAGAGAGAGAGAGAGAGAAAGAGAGAGAGAGAAAAGCAAAGAAAAGAAAAGAATGATCTATGTGAAACATTGATAGGTTGCTCCGGCACATGCCCCAACTGGGGATGACCCATAACCTTTTTGGTTTATAAGATGACACTCTAACCAACTGAGCCACCCAGGAGGCAAAAGGCAGGACATTTTTTTCTTAAGTTTATTTCTCTTGTTATTAGATTTGAGATAGTTTTTTGGGGGTTTTTTAATATGGGTTGTTTTTTTTGTTTGTTTATTTTGTTGTTGTTGTTAATCCTCATGGAAGATATTTTTTCCATTAAATTTAGATAGTGGCAGGGGAGGGGAGAGACAGACAGACATCGATGTGAGAAAGGCACATCGATCGGTTGCCTCCCATGGGCGCCCCAACCGGGGCCAGGGATCGAACCTGCAACCCAATGAGCCCTTGATCGGGCATCAAACCTGGGATCCTTCAGTACTTGGGCCCATGCTCTAAACACTGACCCACACCTGCCAGGGCTAAAATACCATATATTTTTAATTTATATTAACGTGTTATCTTTTACCTTTTAGAAAATTTGGGCAGTCATTTAGACGATTGACTCTTGAGTATATATTTACAGCAGTATACAACTATTGAACTATACATATAATTGAATCTAAACTTTCTCAAACCCTTTTGGTGGGATTTCATCAGGATTTAATCAGGCATTTTAGTCAAAATGTCTATCTGAGTCTGTTGTTGAATGAACTCTTTTCCTTCCTTTTGAAACGTCCCTCTGCTTTCCAGATCTCAGGCACCAGAAAAGAAACCCAGAGTTGTTTACCCTCAGCACATCCCAGCAAAGAATTTCCACAGAAAATATACCGATCTTATTGTTTTTTGTAGGCAAATAATTCCACCGAGGCTGGAAAAATAAAAGGCACTCTTTTGAGAATGTTTGCATATTAGTATTTTCTACAAACTCTTGCTTTTAGTTTTGATTATTTATGCATTATTTAAAATTCATTTTTTTGTAATAGGTTAAAAGCTGCGTGGCAATTAGAATATATCAGGCCTCTATAAAGCTTTCTGAATATTAAGAAAAAATTAATAAGTAACTGTTTAATTGAAAGTCTCGTATTTTCTTTTTATATTTTTCTAATTTCAGGAAACAAATGGAGACTCAGATAGGTGCTTTGATACTAGCCACAGACATCAGCCGCCAAAACGAGTATCTGTCGTTGTTTAGGTCCCATTTGGACAGAGGTGACTTATGCCTGGAAGATGTCAGGCATAGACACTTGGTTTTACAGGTAAATGGGGCTTGGGAAGATTCTGTTTCTAGGTAAATCATGTGACTGTTAGACTGAAATTGTGTGCAGAGTGGCTGAGTCTTGAGAGAAAGCTGTGGGTTTCCTTCCCGGAGGGAGAGCCACTCCCCTGGAGAGCACCAATGATTTGCATTGTTCGCACTCAGGATTTCTAACAAAAACAATTTTCAAAGAGCATTTCATGTTAATAAGTTCTCACTTATTAAAGCTTAAGAAGAAAATGGACAGGGAGTTGGGTGATGTATTGGTCACTTTCTGGTAGTCCAGGCTTTGAGCTGGGCTGTGCAGTAGGTTTGCAGTCTTGCAGCATTTCTGGAGAAATGGTTAGTAGACCTGTTAGTCATAAAAGTAATATAAAAAGTGAATTTCCTGTTGCAGAATTTTCTCCTTTTTTTAAGGTGTTATTTTGCCACTATTAGAGTAGACTTAAACTTACTACATTCGGAATTTTACTTTTTTCTTAACACGATGTTACTGTTTTGCTTGCTAGATGGCTTTGAAATGTGCTGATATTTGTAACCCATGTCGGACCTGGGAATTAAGCAAGCAGTGGAGCGAAAAAGTAACAGAGGAATTCTTCCATCAAGGCAAGTTACAGTATTGAACGCTAATGAATCTATTCAGCTCATTTTCTTAGCATTATATGAATAAAATAACTCAGACATTTATAGGAGCCCAGTGGTAGATACTTGAAATTTTTAGTGACAATTTACAGTAGATGAACATATATACAATAATGTGCAGACTGAGCGTGTATTGAAAATTAATTTTCTTCACATCATCGGATGTGTGTGCATGCTTTTATGAATCGGCATCAATGTGGCTGGAAATTTTGTTGAATGGAAGACTTTGTTGACCTTACCCTCCTGCCTTGTGGGGAGGGCGTGGCCATACGAACACTTAAGGCGTTTTTGTGCTTTAAACTTGGGAATCAAGAATCTTTCATTTCATGCACCTTTCTTTAGAAACCTAAGATTTAAATAAAAATGCTGGCAGAACTACGTATTGGGGTAAAACCTGGGTAAAAGTCCTCCGATTGAGATGGGCTTTGCTATGTGTGAGGCTTCCTCTCGGGAGGAAATGTGTTGCCTGTTTTTGAGGAGCTGACAGGTGAGATGTAGACTTTGATTACAGACAGTAGGTATGCTCCACATTAATGGCTCTGTCTCTTTTGTTCATTTCTAGGAGACATAGAGAAGAAGTATCATTTGGGTGTTAGTCCATTTTGTGATCGTCAGACTGAGAATATTGCCAACATCCAGATTGGTAACTATACATGGATACGGGCAATTAGAAAAATGCCACTGATTGGAACTTTGTCAAGAAAAGGAGATACACATTTGAAATACAGAATATTACAGTTATGCTCACTTAAACCATCTAAAATTTTACTCAGACTGTATTTTCCGGCGAATAAGACGACCCCCTAATTTTACAGTTAAGACATAGGTTTAGGCTTATATTCGCTGTATAAGACTACCCCCCACTTCCGAGGCAACACCAGCTCTTTTTTTAATAGACCGCCTCTCTGACTCTGGCCAATCTGAGCAGGCTTTTTACTAGAACGCAGTGTAGCTTCGGGTACAGAACATGTATAATTTGCATGCATAAAAAGCCTGCTTGGATTGGCTGAGTCAGAGAGGCGGTCTATTAAAAAAAGAGCTGGTGTTGCCTCGGAAGTGGGGGGTAGTCTTATACAGCGAATATAGGCCTAAACCTACGTTTTAACTGAAAATTAGGGGGTCGTCTTATACGCCGGAAAATACGGTATTTTGCTCTTATAATTACTCTCATTTGACCACAGGTTGCAAAAAGCATAATTTTTCAGAACATGTAACAGCTCCTTTTCTGTGTGTTCTAAAATGGAAATGCGCTGTTTGTGTCATTGTGGGACGTGAAAAGGTGACCGCTGAGCTGAGTGCAATGAGAGCGGTTTGCACTGCTTCCTCCTCCTGTGGATCACGCAGGGCCGCGCGGTTTAGCGGGCCCTCCGCCTCTGGCACAGGCCTCTGGAAATCTGGCCTCGACTTGTCCCTCAGTCTCCGCCCCTCGTTCACCGAGAGCAGCGAGGACCCTCCGTGGCCCCGTGGCCGCGCCTTCAGCTCAGGGCTCCTCTCGCTCGCCCTGCCTGCAGGAGCGCCTTCCCTCCGCGGGCAGCGCCCTGGGGCGCGGGCAGGAGAGCCCGGGAGGGGCCGCACCCGCAGGGGGGGCAGGGCAGGTGCCCTGGGAGGGACGCTGGGCAGCGGCGGAGGACAGACGGGCGTGTCGGGTAACTCGGCAAGGGTTCGAGGGATGACCAATTTTGGTCACTGGTATGCAGCAGGGCCTTTGAGAATTAGACTGAAGGTAGTGAAATGTGTGCACAGGTTTTAGAAAGGCGAAGCTTCTAGACAGAAGAGAGCGTGACGCTGTGGCATAGACTGAGGAGGACCCCGTCAGCTCGGGTTCAGAAATGCGGTCCGGTCCTGGCGGGGGCCGTGGGGGGGCGCACTGCCCTGCCTGCGGGGGGGGGGGGGGGGGAGGCGGCGGGAAGGGGCCCGGACGTGCAGAAGGTTTCAGAGGGAAAGACGGCGCGCATCTCCGCTCCGGCTCCCAGGAGACTGGCCTGCAGATGGGGAAGGGCAGGCGGCTGTGGGCAGCGGAGCGGGGCCGGTGGATGGTCGTCACTCACTGTAGCGACTTGAAACGGCTTTGCCGACCCAAGGACTCCGCGCAAACGGGAGAACTTGCAAATGCGGTTTCTGAAATATTTAAATTTTCATTTAAATATCTGCAATGTTTAAAAGGGAAAAGAAGCCAGATGCCTTAAGCTGTTCCTTAGGTCTTGTCAGTGTTGGGAGGTTCCGGAAAGGATTATCAGAGGGGCAGGGATGGGTAAGGAACAAGTGGGAGAATCAAATAAGAGGAGTCACGGGAAGCCCGTGAGCACGAGGTTCTGCGTTTGGTGCAAAAGTCCAGCCGCTCGTGCCTGAGTTTGGCCGCCGGAGAGACGGGAGGCCGGCCCGGCCTGGCCCCGTGTGAGGCTGTGGGGCATCTTCTGTGTGTGTCTCCTCACCAGAACGCAGCTCCCCGAGGGAGCCCTGTCACTGCTCCCCTCCGCCACCCGAGACAGTGCGGCACATAGTAGGTGCTCAGCTGTGTGTGGAGGAAACCGAAGAACTGGAAGAAAGCCTTACTTCTGCTCCTCACTGCTTTTTCAGATTCCATCATTTGTACTCTTAAGAAAATTCAACCATCAGACCATATCTGACTTTTTAAGTAAAAGTAGTGGGTGCTGCTGGCTTTAATTTGTTGTCTGTGGTCAACATGGTCTTTGCTGCAAGGACAAGGTTTTAGAGAAGAAGAGAATGTAAAAGCCGCTCACATAAGCAGCGATAGAATTTGGATGTACATTTTCCCTGTCCTTAGCAGATGAAAGGTTAGGAAGATAATGTATTTGTTTCTCCTAATGTATGTTTCTCATTGCTGAGGCATTTTCTGGGCGCCTCCACCCCCCAAGTAAGATCCTCTGAGCATTACATGAGATACAAAGTGCATGGAGTGCTGTTTAAAGATGCAGACAGTCCCGAATCACTCCTTTTCCTCCTCTGACTACGAATTAAGGAGATCAGTATAGCAGTTATTTATAAAGTAGGACCCTGGTACACTTTTGATGTCCACTTTAATAATTGCTTTAATCTCCTCTGTTCTTTTTAGACTCGTAGTTTTTGTCAGAAGTTTGGGCTTATGTGAATTCTAAGTTAAATAAAATGGCTTATAGTCCTAGCTGGTTTGGCTCAATGGGTAGAGCCTGGGGACTAAAGGGTCCCAGGTTTGATTCCGGTCAAGGGCACATGCCTTGGTTTCAGGCTCCTCCTAGCACGGGCACTGGCTGGGGTGCATGCAGGAGGCAACCAGTCAACGTGTTTCTCTCTCAGCGATATTTCTGTCTTTCCCTCTCCCTTCCACTTTCTCTAAAAAATCAATGAGAAAATATCCTCGGGTGAGGATCAAAAAAATTAAATAAAATGGCTTATTTTAGTCTTGACTAGGTGTGAAGATTACCATCCCTGAGGGTGTACAGAGGGGTCACCCAGCTCCCCTGCAGTTCGCCTCGTCCCCGCAGTGCTGGAGTGGCCTCGCCCCCTCAGTCAGCATGGCCCGTGTTTGCTTTAACAACAGGACGTGGTTGTGCAGCTGAGAGGAGTCAGAAAGATTGATATGTTTGTCAGTTCACCTTTAAGTTGCTTAAGAAATAGATTCATCAGAAAAGACTTTTAAATTTATACATACAAAACCTTTTGAAAGACAAGGTTTAGATAACATTGGAATAGGACTTGAGAGTAAACACTAAAGAGATAAAGTTTTTAAAGATAAAGTTTCAGCCCAGCCAGCGTAGCTCAGTGGTTGAGCATCGGCCTATGAACCAGGAGGTCACAGTTCGATTCCCAGTCAGGGCACACGCCCAGGTGGACATGCCCACGTTGGCGAGCTCCATCCCCATCATGGGGCGTGCAGAAGGCAGCTGATCAGTGGTTCTCTCTCATCATCAATGTTCCTGTCTCTCCCTCCCTTCCTCTCTGAAATCAATAAAAATATAACTTAAAAAAAATAAAATTTCAGAACATGCGTTGATACCTTTTTCTCTTTTTCCTTAAGGTTTTATGACATATCTAGTGGAGCCTTTATTCACAGAGTGGGCCAGGTTTTCCAACACCAGGCTGTCGCAGACGATGCTCGGACACGTGGGGCTGAACAAAGCCAGCTGGGAGGGGCTGCAGAGAGAACCGCCCAGCAGCGAGGACCCCGAAGCTGCGTTTGAGGAGCTGAACTCATAGTTATTACCTCAGGAGACCGGTTGTCATTACCCAGAACCAGAGGACAGGCTGCCTCCTGGAGGCTAGAACGTGACGTGGGGGCGGAGGTGAGGGAACTGACTCCTGACTGTAAGGTTTCCGGGTGGATGATGCCAGGATCTCCGCTGTCGGTCACTTGAACCCACTTTTTAATTCTGAGACCTGAACACAGCAATATGGATATGGCTCTCCTGGGAAACCTGGAATCTGCAAAGCCCAGCAGGCGTGAATCCGAAAGGAGACAAAGGAAGCTTTGCGGAGTGCCAGGGGTTTCTCAAAGCATTTACTCTTCGAACATGAAACTTGAACGGAATCTGTCTGCAGAAATCTCTCGGGATTTAACCAGTCTCATGCAACCTTGTGTGTCTGTACCTCCTACTGAGTTCTCTGAGAAACGGAAATGTGAAGTGCCCAGCTCTGCTGCCTCTGGCCAGACTTGATGTTTACAAATCCACTCTGAAATTCTGGTTCTACATTTGCCTTGGAGCATAACTGCTAAGGAACCACTAAGAACTTTACAGATCAAACGTTACACTGCAGCTCCTTCCCCCCGGTTTGCCTTTCTCCTCTGGATGCCACCAAAGCCCCCGTGTGCTCTGGTTTTGTCTGTGCACTGAACACTGCACTGTCCTAGCGTGCGCCCAGCCTCCCTCCCTCCAGGGCTGGTCGGCAGTGCCCTCCCTTTAACGCTTGGTTTTCCTTGGGGGCGGGAGGGCAGCGCACCCGTGTCCTAGCTGTGTTCTGATTCTGCAGTGAAGACATTGCATGTTGTTTTCACTCCTGTACACCTGACCTGCACATGCAAGAAAAGGTGGAATGTGTAAAACACCGTAATCAGCTCAGGGTATTGCCAATCTGAAATAAAGTGGGATGGGGAAGTGTGTCCTTCAGAGAAGGCACTAAAGCCCCTTCCGCTGCAGTGAGAGGTATGTCGTGTGTGGCTGGGCGGATGCGTGTCTGTGTGCATGTTGTGCATGTGTGACTGTGCATGTGTTCCATTTATCCTTGTGGGAAAGGATTGGACATGGACGCTCTTATTTATTGTAGAATGTGCCCTGAGGGGCAGCCACCCTGGGGGGGCCGGGGGAGGGAGCTGTGACGGATGCTCCAGTTGCCTTAAACTATGCACAAAGCTAAGTGACCAAACTTCCTGTTGTGATTTGAAAAAAGTGCATTGTTTTCTCATCCCCCCTCCCTCCCTTTTTGGTGAAACGCGGCCCTTTGATGGGCCTTTTGATGTGAACAGACGTTTTCTAGGACAAAAATCTAAGGACTAATTTTAAACTTAAAACATTCCACTTTTGTAATTTGTTTTAAATTGTTTTATGTATAGTAAGCACAACTGTAATCTAGTTTTAAGAAAAACCAGTGCTTTCTTTTAGTTCCATTGTATTTCCCTTGTTACTGTAAAAGACTGTTTATCAATTATGTTTACAGTTTGTTGCAACAGCCATTTTCTTGGGAGAAAGCTTGAGTGTGAAGCCATTTGTAAAAGGCTTTGCCATACTCATTTTAATATGTGCCTGTTGCTGTTAACTTTTGATAAATAAAAAGCTACCTTTTCACATTTTATCTTTGATATTTACCTTATAATCAGTTCTTTGGAAATCATAATGCTAAGTGTCCAGGAAATCAAAGATGTAGCTTCTTGGTAGCGTTCACACATCAGACGTGTATTCAGGCAGAGCTGGTGCAGGCACAGTCCTCTGGGCGATCTGCGCCTCACACTGAGCAGGCTGAGGCCCTGGTACCACGTCTGCTCAGAGGCCAGCTTTTGAGCCCAGACCTCTTGACCCCACACAGCCTTTTGTTCCCACAGTTGGAAATTGCATACGACTCAGCACCTCTTGCAAGTACTACAGTACTGCTTGTATTGGCTTTTTTAAAATAATAAGAAACAGTCGCTTAATTCTGCTTGATTGGTATCCACGTCAGAAAGGTACCCCTGGGTCTCTTCTGCATCTTCCCAAGTCCAGTTCCGTAGAAGGGAGGCAGTGCCGATTCTAAAATCCCACTGTTGTCATCGGCATAGAAGAGTGACACCTAATAGAAATATAACGTGAGCCACATTAGTGATTTTCAATTTACTAGTAGCCACATGTAAAAAGAAAAAAAAAATACCATTTATTCCAATGTGGTATATATGTAATTATTTCAATATATAATTATAAAAAGCAATTGAACTGTTTAAATTCTTTGAATTTGAAATGTATTTTACACTTGCAGTGTATGTTCATAGTAGCCACATTTCAAATGCCCGATATCCATGTGGGGTAGTGGCTACCATAGGGGACTGTCTGGGCACAGAAGTCTGATGGTGGCAAAGCTGGATGTTCCTGAGAAAAGTCAGCTGGCTAGTCATGAGGTGGCATCACCTTGGTAAATTGGATGTATCCAAGTTTGTTTGTTTTTGTTTTTTTATTTCAGAAAGGAGGAGAGAGAGAGAAACATCAATGATGAGAGAGAATCACTGATCAGTTGCCTCCTGCACACCCGCAACCCGGGTATGTGCCCTTACCAGAATCGAACCCAGGACCCTTCTGTTTGTAGGCCAATGCTCTATCCATTGGGCCAAACCGGATAGGGCGGCATCTGAGATCTTTAAAGCTTCATAGACCTGGTGTGTCAGCAATGGAGAGGAGAACTATCTCATAGCAAACTCACAAGAACAAAGCTCACAGTAACTGATGTGTTTAAAGAATGTTAATATTTACATTTACTTATTGGTGATATATAACTGTCAATCATTCTCTCCCTTTAGGCGGATCTTCTTGGGAAGCCCGATTGTGATCAGCCCGTTTCTTGGTGAGCATGGATTCTGAGCAAGGGAAGCAAGTTGCCTCAGGCATCCGTCTCCCTGTGGGGCCGCACCTGCCGGTGCACTGTCTGTGGAACAGGGTTCCCTCTTCCTGCGGACGATGCTAGAGGTTCTCTGCCATTCGCTGCTTCTCCGCATCAGCTTCTGATTGGCACTTTCCATAGACATGTCAGCACCTTCAGCCTGGTCTCCTTTGAACTGGCCTGGGCTCCATCTGCCTGTGTCTGATCAATGGCTTTTGCTCTGATCCACTATGTTTCTCACTGATATTCCAAGAATTGTCTTATTTCCACTCTCAGGGGGAAGACTTCTCAGTGTTGCTCTCATTTCCTGCCCAACACATATAATAAACTTTTTTTTTGTTACGTTTTACATATATAATAGGGAATCACTGTCTATACTGCTCTTTAAAATATGACCTTTGTTCCTTGAACATGAATTTCCTAGAAAAAATTGAGAAAACTGGTCAGTAATTTAGAAGATCACATTTGAAATAATTAGGTATATTATGGGACGGAATGCAAAAATTTAAAGATAAAAACAGGAGACTTCAAAGAATTGTTGAGCATAACCTAGCAGCCCATTGGAATGCCATGCCCAGTTCTTCAGTTGGGGCATCTGCCATGCTTGGGGGTAAAGGTCCTTGGAGAGACATTTTTGGCAAAGCTCTTAGCTGCATGAGAAAATATCTGGTTTTTGTCAGTATTTATACTCTATAAATGTGATGGTTCATAATGATTCTCTATAAAATAACTACTTTATGTCCTTTGCAAACCTGGGAAATATATTTGTACTTAACATACAGGTTTAGAGGTGCTAATAATTCTTTGAAGATTCCTATAACAGTCTCTTTTTCCAAAATGCTTTGTCTCTTAAAGCTTTCACTTTTCTTAAAACTTTAAAACTTCCACATCAGAGATTTACAATGTTTTCATGTGCACTTTTTTAAATGTATAAGTATTTTGTTTAAATCCCCTCCTAATCAGTACCTCGTTGCTTGGGAAAAATATATAATGACTGATAGCTACTGTGCATTCAGTAATGTTTTTAAATAAATGTGCATATTAAATACCATTGGATCGGCAGGCATTGGAAGCCTAAGTTTGTACAGATAATGTGCAAGATTTAGACTGAGCCGCTCCTTGCTTGCTGTGCATCTGCAGACAACCTATCTTCTGGAAGGCCCCAGAGGTCCACAGTGGAATGATGGGGTGAGCTGGCTGGTGTGTGTCTGGGGCAGGGGGTGGGAGACAAGGTCTAGGTCTTGTCTGGTGCTCAGCAGAGGGCTAGCGTAAACTGGTTGCTGAATAAATGACTCGATGGTTTAACTATGTTTCCTTTTTAGCTGTCATTGAGAAATTATACTGAAACTAGTCTGTTTATGCTGAAGTTATGTGGTAAGCAATACCCAAGTTCCTGTTGTGTACAGAGCACTGCGCTGGATGTAATAAAGGTATTAAAAGTTCCAGAACATGGTCTCTGTTATCAAAGTATTTTGGGTGACAAACTGGTGTGTGAAGTGTTTATTTAGTATGGCAAGTTTCCATATTATACAAATGAATGCAATGTGTCAGTGTTTAGAATGAATGGTTTAGTTCATTAATTTTCTTCCACATTATCTGCTTTGCTTCCAATGCTTTCTAATCATTCTCCCTCTCACTTACTGAATTCTTCAGCTCCAGAATCTGGTTCTTGATTGTCTCAATCACTTTGGTAAAGTATTTTTGTTCACTAATTTTATTCCCAAGTTCCTTGAACTGCCTTTCTGAGTTTTCTTGGCTCTCCCTGGTTTATTTCATGACTGTGGTTTTGAATCCTCTGGCATTTACATCACAGGCTTCCTTGGCGTTGAGTTCGATTGCTGAAGAATTGTCGTTTTCTTTGTCTTACCTGGTTGTTCGTGTGATTAATGTGTGGTGCATCTGAAGTAGTGAGCGTCTTTCTTATTTCAGGGTGATACTCGAGAGGTCTTTCTTTTGTTTCAGTAAACGGCTGTTTGTAGGACAACTTTCTCTTTTACCTGTGCGCCCCTGCTGTGTGTGGGTCACCTGGGTCTCAAGGCACCACCCCTGTGGAGGGCATGGTGTGTGGGGTTGACCCATGGCGCTGTTAATCTGGTTCCCTAGGGTTAGAAGCCATGGATGCATCTCTGCTCTGCTACTGGCTCCGCCACGATCCAGGGAGGGAGCCAGGTTTTGGGCACCAATGCTGCTGCTGCCTCTATCCCCCCCGGGGGCTGGACCCCAACTCCTCTACCTCTACATTAGCTGGGCTGCTGGCTGGCTCAGCCCGGGCGGGAAGCCAAGTCTACAGGCACTGTCCCTGTTCTTCCCGCGATCTCGCCTCCCCTGTAAACTGATGTGTGAGTCTCATGGGTGTGCTCGTGTGTGGAGCAGAGAAACTGATGTCTAAACAGGTGACTTCAGAGGAAATACAAAGGGGTCTTCACTGTGGTGCTGGCTGTGTGTTTTGTTTTGTTTTGAATCCTCACCGAGGATATTTTCCCATTAATATTTAGAGTGTGGAAGAGAAAGGGAAAGACAAACATCCATATGAGAGAAACACATCCATTGGTTGCCTCATGCAAGAGCCTAGACCAGGGTGGAGCCTGCAACTGAGGTACGTATGTGCCTCTGACTGGAATCAAACTCGGGACCCTTCAGTCCGCAGGCCAACACTCTAGCCACTGAGGCGAACCAGTTAGGGCACTATATGATTTTTAAAAAATCTTTATGAGGATGAGGATATGTTTTTATTGATTTTTTAAAAAGAGATACACCAGTGTGAGAAACACCAATTGGTGTCTGTAGCCCCAACTGGGGATTGAACCTTCAATCTAGGAATGTGCCCTGACTGGGAATTGAACCCACAACCTTTGGTGCACAGGACAACATTCCAACCAACCTAGCCACCTAGCCATAGCTAGCTGAGACTCTTCAGCATAAATTTTAAACTTATTGTTGTTTTTTAATATATATTTATTGATTTCAGAGAGGGAGAGAAACCTTGATGAGAATTATTGATCAGCTGCCTCCTGCACTCGCTCTACCCACAACCCAAGCATGTGCCCTGACCTGCAATCAAACCCTGACCTCCTGGTTCATAGGTCAGTGCTCAACCACTGAGCCACTCTGGGCCGGCTAAGTGTTTATTATTGAGCCATCTCCTATAAAGAATCAGGAGGCAGCATCATATCCCAAGTTCTTTATTTTAGCTGAAATCTATATATCAGACTTTTCAAAGTGCCCTTAAAGGAATGTTTAAAGTTCCTAGTCAAACATTTGCATTTTCACCTGAGACTCACCACAGGATAGGGGGTTTTCCATTGTGGGGAACAAAGATGCCCTCAGATTTCTCCAGGCTTCCTGAGGCTTTATCCGAAAGATCCGTGTTTGTGGGACTGGAGACAAACCTGTGAGTTTGTGTGTCCATTCTAAGGTGGAGCTGCTCATCCCTCCCACGCATCTGGCTTCTCTCGTCTCTTCACCTTGCATTTCTGCTTCAAAAGGCAGCATAACGTCGTTTTGAAAAGTGTTGTCTTTACAGCTAGACCTGGGTTTTTTTGTTTGTTTTGTTTTGTCATTTATTAGCTGGAGCTCCTTAGACAAGTTACCTAATCTTTTAAGTGGCTTCCTAGCCTGTAAAATGTTTCTTAAAAGTCATGTATTGATACATAGTTAAGTGCCAAACAATGGCCTAATTCATGTCCTCATGTTTTGTAGGAATGGCTCAGGAATATAGCTGTCCTACATGACATCCTAATTTGAGCTCCAGGTACCAGCAGCCCTCTCTGTCCACGTTTCCTGTTCAAATGCCCAAGGCGACTCTGGTTAGACCAGCTTATCAGAGCTGTGTTCGTGGTCACTGACCAGTCTGAACGTAACCGAGTAACCCTTCCGGAAGGGAAGGCAGAGGTTCGGGAAGGGAAGGGAAGGCAGAGGTTCGGGTGCTGGGCAGTTTGCCTTCGAGTTGGGTGGAGGATGATTCAGAAAACGTGACCCCCAAGGTCAGTGTCATGTGTTCCCCAGCCCATGTTGCTAACTCCAACGTTTCAGGCGACTGCCCAGCCAGAGTGGTTCTCGCTCTTAGACAGCACGCCCGGCCAGAGAACAGAGATAGCCGTTAGGCACTGGGAACAGCAGACTTCTTGTAGCTCCAGTCAAAACCCTGCTGTTAGGTGGAGAGCAGTCAGGAGGGGTAGCTGCTTGGTGTGGAACGGGAGGCACCATGTGGTTTCCTGGTTATTTGCCTTCCTGAAATGTCTGCCTGACACTCATGTTCTCCTCCCGCCGTCTGACTTCAGAAGGCGCTGCAGCACCTGCGGAGGAGAAGCCTGAGAAGTCCCCACTGCGGGAACGTTCAGGCATCGAGCACACAGGAAGTGGGTTAAGGATGACAGTCTCAGAGGGAAACACTCCATTTCTGGATCCTTCTTTGGTGATGCTATTTTTATTCTCTGTCCTCAAGTGATTGCACTGTACCAATAAGGAACTAGCCCACTTACAAGATTGACAAGGAAAAACTAAAGGGAATTTTAATAGCCTTAATGGGGTAGCTCAAGCTCAGAACGTTGGATCTCTAGGTGAGAAGGGGAAAGGACTCAGGAATGGCTGAAAGCCCATGAGAAACGATTGTGACAACTTCCATCAGCCAGATTCTAACCGAGAGATTGTCTATTTTTAGGTAAGTTAACAGGAGGATGGTTTTTCCAGAGTACTTGTTTTTGGAATTTGTTACCTTTTGATGTTTTATTTACCACTTTCAGGAATTCTTAATGCAGCAAGAGAACAGGCTTCCTCTACAGAAGAGCCTGTGACACAACCAGAACTAAAGACTAAGTCCTCCACCCTAAGCCTGTGCAGGTGCCAGGATTCAGTCTGATGGGAACCAGTGACCTCGTACAAAATGATGTAAGTCACAACTTATTTACATTCTACCAGCGTGTGTCAAAATCATCATTTCAGTTAATCTCAACTATTTTTTGAACTAAGCATTAGTCCCATTTTAAAAACAGAGTTGTGACTTGGCCAGATCATGTACAATCCAAGTCCAATCTTCTCTGACTTATATTTGTGTGTAGTGAGCCCTGGATTAGTCAGCATTATAATAGCACATATCAGTTACTTAAATTTAATTCAGCTATAAAATGCAGAATTAAACTATTTTTAAGATCATTCACTTCTGCGTTGTGTTAGAAGAGAGAACCAGAAACTGAAGGAAGTGGGCATAGGCAAAAAAAGAGATGACACCGACGCCAGAGGTAATAGGGTGGAATGCTGAGGAAAGTCACCCCAAGTGACTGCCCTGTTTAATGCGAAATTCCTTTGAGAAAAGTGAATGAGAGACAACATAATTTATTCTAAGAACATTTCCACTTGAAAAATGTAGAAAGCAAATTACTCCTAAGAAGCTCCATGTGTAATATAAAAGAATCTTACCTATCATAAAAAACATATCTAAATGCATGTATAGGCTTTATGGTTCGTGGAAAAAGTTTTAAACAGTAACTTCCTTCTATTGGAGCACTGGCCAAAATTCAATACTGATACAAATGTGAATTTCTTTTAAGGGCAGAATTTTTAAAACATAAACAATGTACATCAACAGCAGTTCAAATTTAAGCTGAATAACCAAACCATGTAAATTAACTAATATCTACTAACATCTAAAACATTGCACATATTTTCAATAACTTAAAAGTTAGGGTCTACCTACTCTTTTCATCTCCAACTCTGTAGAGGAAATACAACTTTAAACACTATTTACTCATGTAGGAGATTCTGGCATTAACTCTGAGTTTTATCAGAAATAAAGAAAATCATGAAGCTTTATCAAGTATTTAAAATGATCACTGTAGCAATTAGAAGCACTAGGTAAGAAAGGCAGTTCTGCACTTTCTAATAACAGCTGAGGTTTATGGCGCATAATGTAGTTCAACAGAACAGCATTCTGATGATGAACACCTTAAAAGACTTTTGCCTATTCAGTGTTCCATTTTAAATTCCATTATGCCAACAATTTCCAGAAGTATTAACAAGTCATTTTTTATGATGCCATTTATTAAACAAAGAAAAAGATGGAATATTCTGGTTTTTATTTGAAAATATTTAATTCAATGCTTTGATTCCTCCCTATTTGCAAACTACCTTTTCTTCCTCAGAATGGATGGCAGTGAGCATTATCAAGAGTTCCTACTCAAATCCCACCTCCAAGAAAATGTGAGAGGGAATCCCAAGATAACTAAAAGTTCTGTGTGAGGTAAGAAGATTCCAATCTCATTCTAACAATATTTCATTCTAAAAAACTGTCATGCCAGCTCTTCCATTAATGACTAGTAAAATGGTCAATGAAAATAAATAACAGCACCCTCATTATATAATTTTACAGACTGCCTTGTATCCAAATATATGCATATGGAACATTTGTACAGATAAATTAGTGTTAGTGTTAAGAGTTGAAAATGTCCATCTACAAATGTCCTTTCTTCATTCTGAAATCCATATCATTTTCAAAATTGGAAACCTAAACATCATGACTATACACTAAAAACATTACATCAGAATATAAGTATGTTCTGGAAAACTTCAGAACTGACCTGATAAGAGTGCCTTGCTAGTGCTTAATCCTCTAGGTAGAGTTAAAAAGAGACTACTGAATGTTAAATTCAGGTATTTACTAAACAGTGTTGATTTCTATTAGCCAAACAGGCCTAACAAACCAACAGCTGAACCAGGTTTCTCAGGAATTTGAAACATTTTCAATTAAAGCCTTCATTTTTCCTGTAGACTTCAACATGTGTGGCCCAAACTGGAAAACAAACAAAGTATAAATAAATATATTGATTCATATAACAGTGATGATACACCCCTTTCCCAATCATAAATCTATGATTTGTTCTAAATGAAAAAAAAAACAAGCAAATAAATAATATATCAACAGAATGAAAGGCAAACAACTGACCAAATTGCTTCCTAGAAAAGTACAATCATCTTAGCAAGATCTAGCTCGGACCAATTTTACTTCTGTGAGTAAAAGAAGGAAGTACCTCAATGTTTACTTTTCAGTGTCTATTAAAGACTTTCAATGATGCTAGAATTTCTAAGATGCCTGTCTCTCTGGACCAGATAGCAGGTGTCCCCCAGGACAGTAGCTTGAATAGAAGGAATGTATAAATTAGGAATTGAGCAGATTTTATGGGAGCTTTTCTCCACCTATGACACATCCTACAAGGCCTAGGTCAACGCTCAGCACACCTGCCCTAAGAAAAAAATTATCTTTCTATATATCACAACATACAGTCCAACGATATCCATTTTATTTAATAAATCTGACTTCATTATGCTTAACACAGCATGAAAAATTAACATGGGCAATGTTAAGCAGTAAAACCAGGGGGTAATTTTGGTTCCTTCTTCGTGTTCTTCTGTAAGTAATCGGCTTGTTTGTAAAGACTAAGTCCTTCTGAATCTTGCAGAGGACACAGCGGACTGGCTTGTAAAATGGAGGTGCTTAGCAGTGGCTGGAACTACTGCCTACATTGGACCAGGAAAGAAGCCTGACCCCATACTCACCAACACTGTTTCTGAAGTGGCCTCTGACGCAGACTTTGGAACTCCTTTCTCAGCCTCATCTTGGCTATCACTTCGGTACCGGTAAGCAAATTTCTTTTTCAGAGCCTCTGCTATGAGGGCAGCAGGGTCAGTAGCATCCACAGGTTTGGGCTTTGTATCTAGTTCTGACCTTGGAGAAGTGAGCAGAAACCAAGGGGACAGGTCAGTAGGCTGACAGTGAAGACACTGCTAGCAGTTGAGGAAGAACCCGAGATTTCAGGCCCAATGAATAGCCACTCAGTTCATCTGAAGGCACTGATCATGTTCTTTCAGGGCCAGTATGGCTCCATTCTGTTCCAGTAGCCCAGGACTACCATAGTGGTACACAGCATGGCTTTACGGAGTGAATGACTGGCAGTGCAGTCTTTACCGAATGAAAGGGTTTTAGATGCAAGGGAGAAGAGCTAAAAAGTAACCTGGAAATATTTATTTTGCTAATTTCTTAGTTATCTGTGCAAGGAGCCACCAGGGCCCATCTTTTACAAGTTAAAAACTTGAACTATTCATAATAGTCTTATTATTATAAAGCGAAAATCTTAAGAAGCCCAGTACTTTAAAAAGACAAAGTGAGGGAAGGTAAATGCAGCCTCACCTTTTTACTGACCGAAGCTTCACACTGTTCATGTCTTTGAGGATCTCCAGCATGTTGGGCACAGCAGGTTGCTTTGGGCTGTGCTTATCCAGCGTCTTCCCAGCACTGGCTTTTCTCTCTCTCCGGGCTCTGATCAGGTCCACAGCAGATGTGTTCTGCTGGGGCGCCGGTGGAGGGAGGGGTGGCGGCGGGGGAGGTGGTGGGACAGAAGGTGGTGCTGTGGTAACAGATGTGCTAGAATCTAAATCACCCACAGAAATAAGGTAAAATCAATTTTAATCCTATGGTAATGGGCAAATAAAATTTATAAATCATGTTAAGCACTTTTATATATCTGAAAACAATATCCTTAAAAAGAAACTTTCAGTTACTTGGTTAAAATCTAAATCAGTCACTGTATCATTTAATCCCAAACTCTCCAGATGGAAAAGTTCCATTTGACTTTAACAGGAGTGTTTTTGTGATATCAAATGGTCAAGCCTGACTGTGGCACAGTTTGTAACTCCTTTTAGATGAAGTATAGTCTGTGCTGCACAAATAATTATCTTAATTATATACAGTACTATAACTTTTTTTAAACTATTGGATAAATTTGTGGTTCATTTTAAATATACTATTCACATATACAATATTACAAATATTATATACCTCCATTGACTAGAATGTGTTTGAAAGGATTTAAATCAACTGAACAAACTTCTGGGGGGAAAAAGTTAACTTTTGTTTTGGGAATTAAGTATAACTAAGTTAAAGCGGTTATATAATGACAACCTAAAATTCATCTTTCTGCACAATTAGAGGTTAGAGTGTTTTCTTTTAGGTGAATTACATTGGGGAGTGCAAAAAAAGTCTCACCAAATAAATCCCCAAATTATTTAATTATTTATGGCACTTAACCTAGTCTGCCAGGAGAGGGAGGTAAAGCAAAACTTAAAGTTGGAAGAAAAGGACAGGATTTTGGTTTTTAAAGTTGGAAGAAAAGGACAGGATTTTGGTTTTTCATTTAACACGATTACTCCTCAAGCATGTGGTGGGGAGTGCATTTGCCCTCTGTCCACCTTGGCCTTACAAGGCTGGATTACATCCAGCTCCAGGAGCACAAGCCAAGTGGCTCAGAGGTAGAGCAACTGTACTGTCCTTATCCTTTAGACAGAGTTGCTTCATCCTAAATCTAGCCAGGACTCTGGAACAACACTTAGGAAAAACAGCTGCTTGCCAACAGGTTAATGGACTAGGATTTCAAGTCTATGGTTTCTTCTTCAGTGATAAATGCCACACAAATAAAAGCAACAGTATTAAGACTAGGAGTCAGAGGACTCAGATTCTCTCTGGGCTAACGGCATTTCATAATAATTTCCATATTTTCTCCCGTGGTAACTAACACAGCTACTGGGGTCCCATTTTAGAGCAGAAAAGGGAAAGTACTTGCCTTGGGACTTCCAGGTAAGTAAATAGCACTCAGCCCGTCAGGCTGTCTGAGAGGATTAGTGCCATTTAGTTCCCCATAGCGTTCACCGCGGTAGTAATTCAAGTGCAGGAATTTCAGTGTTTTCCAAATATACCCACTTATCCTCTCTGATAGCATCAAGATTGTTCAAACACAAACCACTTAGGCTTGATTGGGCCTGGACTAGACGATGCAGAGGGCTGACTCCCAGTTACAGCTGTTATTTGCCAATAAATTCTAACATTACAGCGACAAGCTTCCCATTCCCAGTTTGCTGGTAAAACCAATGTAGGACTTACAGACCTGCGGTAAGAGTCTGCTGTTCTTGCAGGGTCACAATTTTGGCAATCTGAGCGCGGAGAGCAGCGAGTTCATTTTCAAGAGCACAGATCTTCTGCAGCGCCTCCTCATTCGCCAGGGGCGTCTTCAGCGGAGGCTCTTCCGGAGACAGGTTTGGTAAGGAAAGCTGCCGGCTTGGGGGTTTCTCAAAGAAAGGAATGTCATCCTGAAGGGGCTGCCTTGACCTGGCCTCTGTCCTGCAAGGAGAGAAGGGTGGCTGTCACAGGCTTTGTAAGAAAATATAGAAAAACACTGCCAATTAATCACAATGTCCATAAAGGAGGGGACTTATGTAAGTTCAGCTTAAAAAGTGGTTCTCAAGTGTTTCTTGTGGCCATTCATTCTTCTGAATCACTAGGAAATATGCCCAAGCATCACAGATTCCAACAATGTTTTTTTGCTAATTCATATTTGGTTTTATTTGAACTAAGAAATCTTTTAATACTCTTTTAAATGATAAATTACTAGTTGTACTTGACTACAAAATCAGATCAATGCCGAAACCGGTTTGGCTCAATGGATGGAGCGTCGGCTTGGGGACTGAAGGGACCCGGGTTCGATTCCGGTCAAGGGCATGTGCCTTGGTTGTGGGCATATCCCGGTAGGGAGTGTGCAAGAGGCGGCTGATTGATGACTCTCTCTCATCGATGTTTCTAACTCTCTCCCTTCCTCTCTGTACAAAATCAATAAAATATTTTTTTTTTTAAATCAGATCAGTAATGCATTAACCCTTCCCCAGGACCTTGGCTTCTGCAATTCAATGTCAGTATTTCTGTGTACGATAGAATATACCAAATTACAAAACATATTGTAACTATGGGCAAAATACAGCAAAAGAAACTGAAGGGGGGATCAATATAACTGAACCCATTCAGTAACTACATGGCAACTAAATAATCTCTTAGGTGTAAAAAATTTAATGTGCACTGCTCTGCAGCTCCCAATGGAAGGTCTTCCTGTTCTCTTAAGCCCTTGGCATTTTTTAAAAATCCTCACCCAAGTTTATGCATATTGATTTTTAGAGGAGGAGGAAATAAAGCTGTATTTGTTTTATGTTTGGCTTGCAAAGCTTCAATTATTACACATCTATAACAAGAGGAAGGAATGGGTGATGAAATTTCTTTTTAAAAAAGTACATAAGATTAAACAAGGTTAGAAAATCTATAAGGAATAGTACCAACAACCTGATTAAATATTATATATATATTTTATATATATATATATATATTCTTTGAAAGATTATATAAAAAGTTATTACATGCATTTGCTCTAATCAACCTACAATAAAATATTTTGAAAGAAATCACTGGCTCTTTGTTGATGCAATAGGCTAAATTCCGATTTCTACCTACCTTTCATAGGGTAGATCAAGAAATTCTGTTGAATAGCTCTCTACAATAAATAGATTAAATTACAAATAGATATTAAATTACAAGTAGATAGAAACTAATCCACCTACTGGAGTTTTGGGAAATATTTACACAGAGTAATTAATCAGTATGTGAGATATTTAATATGCTTCCTCAATTATATTCTTAATAAACTTTTTGTTTTTAATAAAACTGAACACAATGACTTCTTAAAAACAACTTCTTGAAAAAACTGCAGACAGTGGTAGAATACAATGAAATATCAACTGCAGAATTATAATATTCTTGTTCAAAACAACAGTGTCGACAAAGATGGAAGACTAGTGGAAACTGAGACTGAATGAGGAGGAGGAACCAGTCAGAAGCTGTGTGCTAAGGATAGAGGATGGACACACCACCACGGGCACGAGAGGGCTCCTGGAGGATGACAGCAGATGGAAGTGGAACAGAGGAGAGAAACGGAACCTGCGCGTAAAGACTCATCTCTACCCTCCACCCCGTGTTCCATGGTCCTATACTTAAGATATTCACCTGTGAGGGTGATGGTTTTTAAAAAAAAAAAAAAAAAAAAAAAAAAAAGAAAGAAAGAAAATTTTGGATACTAGAATCTTTTGTGCTACTGAAAAAAGTTACAATACTGTTTACTCGAGAACATTTCCCCACCTAAAATTCTAGACATCAGAGGGGCCAAAAGTATCAAATGCTTAGAAGTATGTATTTATTATCATTCAAGTAATCTTCAAATCCCATTAATATTTACTCTAACCTATCCAAAACTGGAACAAGACAATATGGATTAAGATCAATTATTACACGTTTGACTATCTTATTCTCCTTAAATTATCTTCTACCCAAAATAAATGGCAAGAGAAAATTGAGTATTAAATCAACAACTGCAATGTTAAAAAATAAAAAAGGAATCTTCTACATCTCCCCTCTTACAGGTTAATTTTATCCTTTTGCTTTTCCATCTACTGGAAATTAATGACAAAGCATTCATCAATCTGGAATATCAGTATGCCCGCATAAGAGGAAAAAAGCTGTTAGCAAAATGATTTGAGCAACAGTGTCAGATCACCTATATTCTATATCTATGCTATTTTTATAATTTTGATTATATAGATTCTGCATTTCTCTATGTGAAATACTGTTGATGGTTATAGTTCAAAGCAATTCTAGAAAATGTATAAGTTTAAATGTGGGTTTTTAGAAGCCAAAAGTTAAAGTACTCCTAAAATGATCATGTCTTGAAAAGACACAAGAGATGGACATCTATTGGAGCCTAAAACAAACAAGAATTGTTCTGTAATATTCTTCCTTGTGTATGAAAAACTAAATTTTATAAAAATTTTACACAAACTCCTTGCTTTAAAAACACACACACCCTTCCCAGACATCTATTCTGTAAAGAGTCAACAAATAAATCATTCTCAGAATTAGTCTGTTTTGTCATCCTTCAGAATAGGGGGCTATTAAGAGCTAGCATACAGAGACCACAATCTATGAGGAATGCTGTTCAGATTTTTGTGTGTATAATTTAGAAAAATTTTAAGAAGCAAAACTATAAAGCGCTATCAACTATTGATGCCCCCAAAGCAGAAGACAAACAGCCAAAATAAGATTGTTTTTAAAAACCATTTTCTTGCCCTAGCCAGTGTGTTAAGTGGCTAGAGCTTTGGCTCACACACCAAACGTCCATGGGTTCAATTCCCTGTCAGGGTGCATGAAGGATGCAACTATTGGATGTGTCTCTCCTTCCTTCTCCTCCTCCCACCTTCCATCTTTCTAAAACTCAATGGGAAAAATATCCTCTGGTGAGGATTAACACAATTTTTTCACACCAACTTCTCCTGATGAGATTCCCCCCCCCCCCCCCCCATTATTTGATTATGGCTCCAACATGCCTTACGGCAGAAGAGTACAGGCTCCTATGCAGAGTAACATTACCTACCTTTCTCATCTTTTCAATGTTAGTATCAAGGACAGCCTCTTTTGGAGTACAACTTGCATAAATATAAAATGCTTCTTAACCTCCACTGGCCATTCTAATTTTTGTAAATGGCCAGTGGAGCTTAAAAAACATTTTATATTTATGGGGTCCTTTCCCCTTAATTCACAGTTAACGAAAACTCAAAAGCTGAGATTGTTTCAAATTAGCCCAGTGTCCTAGGAAAAGTGGTATTCCCCAAATTATTTTTAGTTTGGAGAATAGCTTAGAAAGACATAAAAACACATTGTCAAAAGGATCCAGTTTAGTTCCCTGAAAACATGAAATTGGGTATAAAACTAACAATCTTTTTTTTTTTAAAATATAAGAGGGAGAGAGAGAAATATCAATGAGAATCATTATCGGCTGCCTCCTACACACCCCCTTCTGGGGATCCAGCCAGCAACCCAGGCATGTGCCCTTGACCAGAATCAAACCCAGAACCCTTTAGACCTCAGGCCGACACTCTTCCACTGAGCCAAATTGGCTAGGGCCTAACAATCTTTTTTTTTTTCTTTTTTAAATAAATATTTTATTGATTTTTTACGGAGAGGAAGGGAGAGAGATAGAGAGCTAAAAACGTCGATGAGAGAGAAACATCGACCAGCTGCCTCTTGCACACCCCCCACCGGGGATGTGCCCGCAACCAACGTACATGCCCTTGACTGGAATCGAACCCGGGACCCCTCAGTCCGCAGACCAACGCTCTACTGCTGAGCCAAACCGGTTTCGTCCTAACAATCTTTTTAAAGCAAGTAGCCGAGTAAAGGCAACTGGACGGGGGAGATTCTTTTGACCGAGGGGGTAACCCCTGAAAGGATTTATAATGGAAAGTTGGCAGAACTGTTGGGAGGCCACAGACCCAGAGCACTACTGGACTCATCACATTAGCTGTTGTAGATTCTGCTCAACACAAGTCTCTTGTATTTTATAAGTCATGTTTTACTAAAAATGACATTTAATAGAAATGTTTCTGCCTTGAATCTAGTATTTTACTAATGTACATTATCAGTTAATGTCTTGTGTCAAGTATAGTAATTAAGATAAAACGGGATAGAATAACACCTGTTGTTTGTTGTGAGTGGAAAACTCCTGCTCCGACCCAAGGCGGAGGGGGGAGGATCAATCTCCTGGTCCACACTCACTCGCACCCGCTGACCTGTGGCCTGGCTGCTTGCTGAGTCATTTCCTTTGGAATCTAGTTACTCAGAGTCATACTTTATGAGATTTGGGTTCTTCTCCAACTCTCCTTAAAAAATAGCACATTCCACTTTACACTTAATATTCAAATTTGAAAAATTAAAAGCTGTTTAATCAAAGCCCTTAGTCTCACTTTAGTTACTACCCTTATATTACCAATTCTTGTAAATATATTCATCTTGGCAATCAGAATACAAACGTTCTGGTGTAAGAAAAGGGCTTATCTGTAAGGACTTCAATCCTATGAACCTATAAACTTTTAATACTCAGTTTGATATGTATGAGGCACTCAGATTCAAGAAGTAGAAAAATTAGAAATGAAGGTAGTAACATAGAATGACCAAATCAGAGTTCAACTTGAAATATTTCAATATCCCTTAAATAATGATCTTCTCCAAAAGTTACTCTAATACATGACAATATCTATGATATCTACGAGAAGCCACGGCGTTTATATGATAGTCTTTAATTTCATCATACTTAGTGTGTGCAAGTATTATGCTGTGTACTTATCAAAAAACACAAGCTCTAGCCGGTTTGGCTCAGTGGATAGAGCGTCAGCCTGTGGACTGAGGGATCCCAGGTACGATTCCGGTCAGGGGCATGTACTGTGGTTGCAGGCACATTCCCGGTGGGGAGT